TGAGATGTATTCCCCAAACTGCACTTCAAAGATTGCATTTTAAAGAACAAATGAAAGAGGAAACAGTCTGTCAAGGACACACGTTAAGTTATGACATGTTATCCATAACTGTTAGGACTTAGTTCAATATTTAAAATCTATTGCTACTGCATAGTAATGAGAACTTTTAAAAGGAACCTTTTATGCCCTTTTTCAACTGCATGGTTTTATTCTTGAACTCTGTTGGAATTGATTTGCATGAGAAACTGTTTCTTATTTATCACATGCAGAGCCTTGGAGCAGCACCTCATTCACTGACTGAGATTTTAGGTTAACCTTAACAACGTCCTTCTTTTAAGGACAGTATCTCTTGATCGGCTGCCTCTAACATACAAAGGAAAAAGGTTGTGCGTGTAAGATTCTAAGATTAAAGAAAGTTCCTCTTTCAGACATCATACAGAACCAAGAATAGCAAAAAAGCTGCTGGAAACCAATCATGAAAATAGGTAGTGTAGTGTATGCGTCCTAAACAAGACTAGACATTTTATTAATAGCCTCGTGTTCTGTATAACCTGTATGAGCTGTACTGGCTGTGGAAAACCTAAATATGCCCAACTTAAACAGCACGGTGTCGGTCAAAAACAAAAGTGTAAGAAAATTTTTTTTTCGGTTTTCTAAAAGAAGGAGTCACTTAGGTATGATTTCATAGACTTCATCCTGATGAAGTACGATGATTCATAATGGATGTCTCAGAGTTGCGAGGGACCTTGCGCCATGCTGTCACCTGCTGGAACTAGAAGTGACAAATTGCTCTCATTACACCTGGGACGGAGCTCCACATATAGCACTATTAGCACAGCTATTTCTGCTAATGGTAGCGTTACTCTCTTCCAGATAGATCAATTACAGTGTGTGGGCCATGGTCTCAGCCACCTCTTAAATCAATTATGGGCCATTACATTTAGCAGCCAAGACCTCTTCTGTAGACCTTCCCAGTTATTGGGTGCCACAGATGGGTCCCTAAGGTGGTCCAACAGTGCAGTGTCTTGAGTGTGTTAGAAGTCTTCAAGAGTCTCTTAAATCAAAAACTTGCTGGTTTCCAGCTGTAGCTCTGAAGTTTTAATGTCTTGTGCTGTGGTAACATGTGGAGCCGGGGTAATAATTCATTATTAGCTTCTATCGACTGTCATTGGAATATGGCTGAGACAGTTGTGCTATGAAGAGATGAAAATCTTTTGTTCGTATGAAAGATTACAGGAAAAAAGCATTATTATGTGTTTGAATTAATTAAATTATGGTATTATTTTTAGGGACTGAAGAGCACGGACGATTCAGACATTAATTAAGTCAGGTGATATTAACTAAAACAGAAAAAAAACACTCAATAAAATCCATATTGTAGTCACTGTCTCCTAGGTAGGGACAAGTATTGATTATCAGTGGTGATCCAACTCTTTATCAGGAAAAAAAGCTCAGTATGAAAATTAAAATGAAGAATGTTTATGATGTCAGTAAACTAACCAGCTGTCACCTTCATTATAACAGCAGTATGTATGTGTTGTGCATGCATACAGATGGGGTTTTGTTTTGCTTTGCATAAAATACTGAAAAATTGCTCTTTTTGTAGTACAAGTTTGCCAAACTCTGATCTAAACCAAGAGAGGAAAGAAATATTTACTGTGTTTATTTCTTGTTAGTGCTGTTTTTGCACACCAGTAAGTAGTTTTACACATGAAAGACCCACAGAGTGACAGCCGAGTCATTTTTCCTGCAACTGTTCATAGTCAGTGCTAAATGAAGCTACTGTGAGAAATTTGGCTGCTGACTTTTACACCAAGCTAAATAAATCAAACAAGAAGAATTTTTACATGAGAGCATTGTGAAAATGTTCGTTTTATGATATACTGCATACATTATTTACACACTCCAGTTGTATGCTACATACAATAAATGTTTTATTATTCAAAACAATGTTTAGCCTGTTGAACAGTCTAAATAGCCCAGCTGTTTGCTAATGTGAATCAGATACATGGGCAATAAAAATAAAACATCAGCGCTACACACTTTACATCAAAATTATTCTACAAATTTGCTAAAAGTTTGCACCTCCGCTCTGACTGAGACCTTTCTTAATCATGCATACTAAAACCGAAGTGACCTTATTCGACACCAAGTCAGCGCAGAGCTCAACAAATAAATTTAATTATAGCTGTTCCAGCAGCAGAATCAACATCTACAGATTTGCTTGCTGCAAACATAGCCTTAAACACATCCACCTCGCTAAGCTATATCCCCCAGTGACGAGATATGCCTTAGTGACCCTCGCTCTAGATTTACATGTGCTCCTGCAACAGAGATCACCATGGCAACAACAGATTTTGAACTTACTTTCTCTGCCCACGACGCTGATTGGTTCCAGGTCTTGGGGGAACGGCGTGGCTCCTGAGGACAGCTGAGCTAAGAAGGCGACAAAGGTGAGAGCCAGGAAGGCTGGCAGGATGGGTCGAGGCAAGACGACCATCAGCCTCATTTTGGCAGAGGGAGAGACCTCACCAGTAACACATGGCCCACAGCGGATTCACCTAACCAACCTAAAAAAGAAAAGGCACAGAGTTGGTGCATTGTTGTTATCAATATTACATCTGAGACACCTCAGTGTAACAAAATTAAGACAGTCAGACAGTATAACATGGTCGACTTCTAATATAGTAGCACGTATTGGATATAGATGCATTTTATAGAGATTCTAAATTAAAAGGCAACAATTACATAACTGAAGAATGACTAGAGTAATGTTTAAAGGTGGCATCTTAGTTCCTATTAGCATGCAATGCCTCATGCCAATGCAGTGATGTGATTGAGTGTCCGCCCAACCACTGATTTGTAAGAGTGCAAATGCATTTTAAAAAAAGGCAGATGGAGTCAGAGCAAACCAGACGTGTGAGGGAAGCAACCGGGAGAGAAGGCAGGCTGCAGGACCCTGACCAGAAGGACACTTAAACATTCACTGCCCAACCGTGTCTTAAACACAATAAACACTCCTTGTTCAGCCTGACATGGCGAGATGTCCTCGCACTTGTTTAATTTAGTAAAAGGTAAAAGGTCACCCCTGTGTATATTTAAATATCACCTCTAAAAGGTGGCTCTCACACATGAGCTTTGTGCAAAAACAGCTCCTTCAACTGCAACGGTCACCAATGGTTAAGAAATATGAGGAGGCTTTAAAGACTTTCCATAACCTCATGAGCCACCAAAGAGAGCCTGAAACTGGTGAAATTTAATGAGGATGAACAGGGTGAACATCTCTCACATACAACTATATGCTTTTACAGGAGGAACTAAAGGTGGAGACCATCAAATAAAAAAAAAATTAAGGGGCAAAAACACAAAACAAACAAACAAAAAAGATGAAAACAGTGAAGCAGCAAGAACGTTCAACATTTCTGTTTGCACCGGTGAGAGAGTGGCAGCAGGATTATGTGCTTTATATGGAGAATCAATTGTGAGTTATAGGTCAGGACTATAAATGTTTGAAAGGCATCCTTCCAAAGAATTGCCACACCTGTCTGTCTGGTTAAAAGGCCCAAGCTAATACCTGGATGATTTGTGATAGGGCTGTACATTTAAAGGCAATGGTGACCGGGATTTGTGATATTAGATTAAAATAAACATTCACATGATTTCTATTATGGTAAAGAGTAGATATGTCTGCCGCCACAGAGTTGAAAGTGTAGGAAACTCACTTGTGGGAATTTATGCAACAACACAAAAGGCTAATATGTTTCCAGATTCTGCTACAAAGAAGATGATTGGCTTTTTCGAAGTGACAGCTATCTTTGGTATTTTTGAATTCTCCCATAACTTTCTATTTCTTTGTGATTCTTGGTGTCCACGCTGCGCCCACCCACCATGCAGGGTGGTGGCAATACCCAGTCAGCCTTTTAGGTCTCAGGGGTAAAAAGATTTAACAATTCAAAAGTTGGAAAATAAATACAAATATTACTTAACCCTTTAAGACCTACCATAGAACCAAGTCCGCCAGAGCTTATATTATATTTTTACATGTTGTGGAGCCATTTTTGGGAGCATTTCAAGTTGCTATACATCAATACAACCATTACAGCCTACATTTTAATAATATGCATGCATTAAGTGCATAGTAATTACATAGATTCCAAAAAAGTGCAATAAACTACAAAAAAATTGAAAATCGTTTTTGTTTTTTAACATATATTTCTAGTTAGAGAAATTTAAGAGGCTTATCCCTCAAAACTGTAAATACAAAAAAGTTGCACAAAATAGTTTCCCACCACAGAAAATTTATTTTGAGTGTCTTCATAGTTTTATTTTTGAAATACACCAATTTTTATATACTGCAGGAAAAACGAAAATAAATATTATAATGCAAATTTGCAAGAAAGCAGCATATGCATCAAAATAAACTATTTCCAGCAGTGCAATATGAGTCCTAAGCATCCCAGAAACGACACAGAAAGTCATAAAGTCAAACATAACTTTTAAAAACACCAGTATAGGCTCATGAGGCCCTGATGGTAAAAAACTACATTTCCACAAAAATGACGTCACTTCCGGTTTCGGGCAGGTCATGGCGGACATGCGATAGTTCACCCTGATGGACGTAGGAAGTGTTATGAACAGCTGATCGGATCGGCAAAGCGTGTTTCTGGAATATTATGTTTTTGTTGCTATAAGTGCTTTTTATGCAGTTTTTGCAAAGCTATATGTGGAAGGAAACTGTGACCGAGGACAAGCTGATGGCATAAGATGTAAGTACAACTCCTCCGGTTTTATATGCAAAAAAAATTATTGCGCTAGCTCACGTGGTTGCAGAGCTACCGGGATTTAAAAATAGATACGCAAAACGGAGCGTGCCCGCTCTGACCGGTTTTAAAGGGTTAAGAATGGATATTTTAAGCTACAATGACAAAATATTTCATTATGCAGACTGCAATGTATTGGTAAAGTTTAAAAAAAAAAAAGAATAGTAATGGGTAAAAAAATGAAATTGAGAATCAGTGCGAGAAAAGTCACAAACCCAAGCTGGAGAGCCTCATAGATTTATTAAGTAATTTTCACAGATGAAAATGCACTCTTTAATCAATCACATAACGGGACGTTGTCTGCATCAGGCATCTTTTCAATACTGGCAAACACTGTTGGGCTTAGGGGTGGGTTAGTGTCCGAGAAAGGCAGGACAATTTCCTGGGCCATTATCGCAAAGGCTCAAATGGCTCAAAAGGCTCACTGTTTAAAAGCAGCTTTTAAACAGATATCAGAAAATGTTAACATGACCTGCAAGCAGATCTGCACTAAAGCACACAGAGTAAGGAAACAGATGCATGTGCCAGGTTGTACCATTCAAATGCTTAATACTTAAATAGTACAAATACTTGCTGCATTTATCAATCTGAACACCTGCTGCTAAAAACATTCAAATGCACACAGAGCACGTCCTTTGGAAAAAAGTTGGGTGGTAAACAGAAAGTGATTCATTTGTTGTTGTGCGTTTGTTAGCATGAGAGAAGAACTTGTCTTGCATAATTAAAGGAACAACTCCGTAGCCGAACAAAGGGTGCTGCCATCGAAATCAAGATTTCAAAACGGAAAAGTCAAAGAAAGATGTAATAACACCACAAGCAGTATCTGTCAATGATCTCAAAAAACAAAACAAACAAAAACCATCAATGACAGCTTATCAAGTAAAGATGTTGCAACCTCATCCACCTCCAAGAATTCAAATCACAGATTATCATTCTCAATAAAGTGTTTGACAAAGGAGCTCTGAGAATATTTCCTCTTTAAAAAAAAAAGTTTGCATAAAAGTTGGACTCAAGTGTCTGTGTGGGAATTATTAACAGCTCCAGACATTGTACACAAGGCTGAGATTATGCATAAATGTTAATTTCCACATCTGTTTGATATTTGAGGAAAGAGACAGTAACAGATGGATGGAAGAGGGATTTGTCGAAACCAACTTCAAACTGTGATGACCTGCACTCCTTGCCAATTTATTGAGGGCAATGTGTCCTCTACAGGGGTTCTTACAAGCCCTCCCAAGTTTATGCACTGTGTCACTTGGCAGTGAGACTTGGGCCGCATGGTTTTAAGTGGGAGCAGAAAATTAAGTCAACAGAGACATGAACTGTCATCAATATTGATAATAGTGTGCCTCATTTAAATGCAGGCAGAAAGCTGCATTTAGCAATGAGGTCAAGCGATGATCACAACACCATAAATCGACGTGAGTAGGCGTGTGTCTGTTTGTGTTTACTCTGTGAATTACAGCAGCTTGTGTGGCCTGCCTTAGTAAGTATATGAGAGCGATATACCTGATGAATTAGCCTCATATGGTATAATTTGGCTGTTTTGTTTTTTTTTCTCCCAGCCAGCGAAGCAGCTATTTAAACAGATGATGTTATTATGAAGACAAATAAGTGAGAAACGTCGCTTAAAACGTCAAAAACATTCACGGCAGAAAAAGGCTAAACAAAGTTTTGTCATTTAAACTGTTAAATTACCAATAAAACAGCCGAATGTCAAAATGTATCCACTTTTATCATGAATACGCAGAGCCGCACATAAACCTAAGCAGCGTGTCCGGGGAACACTATGTTCTTGTGAGAAAGGAAGGCAGAGATCATTTATTGACAACCTACTTAGCTAAAGGAAGGCAACCATCAGAGTGTGAAAACAAGACAACCATACTGAGTACAAGAGCTTATGCAAGACAAGTAATATACCCTACATGGTTTGTGCATACAGTATTAGCTTGTAGTTGAGGTTGAGTTTCAGACTGTTGAGGACTTCATTATCCTGAACTGGTGCTGGAGACATTTTTCAAACTTTACTGCTAGAAGCTGTGTGACAAAAATAAATACTTGCAAATCTAGACAGAAGGGATTTGTCTTTATACTCATCGAGTGTATTGGATATATCGCCCACCCCTGCTTGAGCATATGGGAAAAGTAGAGCTCCTGGTTAGATTCCACCCACTATTTCCTGCATCACTCCCCCTTGTTCTTTGCTGTCTGCTCTCTTCTGCCCTACCAAATAAAGGCTAAAAACTAAAAAATCTGATTTTTACCTTCAGATTTCAAGTGTGAAATACTGGCAAGCTCAAATCATACGAAAATATACTCCACAAGCTGCTGAACTTTTAAGTTAAATGCTGGCAAA